GCAGCCGAAGTTTGCTACCCATCGTTTGACGAAGGCGCGAGCCACTGTTTCAGCAGTGATGTCCTTGATAGGTACTGCTTCTGGCCATCGAGTGAAACGGTCTACGCAGGTTAAGAGGTAAGAGTATCCATTTGAATCTGGCAAAGGTCCTACCAAATCCAGATGAACATGGTCGAAACGAGCATCGGGAGTTTTAAATGAGCCTAAGGGACATTTATTGTGTCTGATAACCTTAGATTTTTGGCAGCTTACACAGGAGCGTGCCCACTCCCTCACGTCTTTATTCATGCCAGGCCAGTAAAACCGTTCTGCTATAAGCTTGATGGTTGCACGAACACATGAATGAGAAAGTTTGTGCAATGTGTTGGAGACATTGCGTCGATAATGTTTCGGCACGACTGGGCGATCCCTACCTGTAGATGTGTAGTGGCACTGGACCATAGCCACACAATCCACAAAGAGGTGAACACGAGACTACTCAGAAAATAGATATTCAATATTTAACTCGGGGAAATACCTAACGATGGAGAAGGCGCGAATAAAGAGTTGAATGGACTGGAGTTGATCGAGTGGCATGGCTCGCCCATGCAGGCGTGGTCTCTGCTGAATGTTACCTTGTATCTTCTATTCATATTAAATATATTGTTCTTTCTCTAGCCTAACCTTGTTCTACATCATGTATTGGTAATTGATGCGATACAGTGAGTTGGTGTAGTCGATGGTGTGACTTCCACGTAAGATCTTATAGATTAGGCAGTTATATCATGACAAATCTACAAATTTAGGATTAGGTCTATTATAAGAGCAGTACTAATATCATAGTAGACCATAATTCTACAGATGTGTCACAAAGTAAGGTTTGCTTACCTGTTCCCATCTGTTTAATGTGTAGTTCAAGGGTTGTTGAGGATAACTCGTGCTGAAGATCAGTGTTTTCTTTTTGAGGCTGGGCGAGTTTAAGAAGGTCGATGCCTTGGAAACTGTTCAAGGAAGTTATACGAGACAAGGCATCTGTGACTACATTGTTTGCTCCAGAAATGTGTTGAATATCTGAAGTAAACTGCGAAATTTAGTCTAGTTGTCGAGACTCACGGGGAGAGTACTTGTCAGAAGGAGAGCTTAACGAGAAAGTGAGCGGTTTGTGGTCCGTGAAAGGAGTGAATTCACGGCCTTCGATATAGTGTTGGAAATGCCGTACAGCACAATACATAGCTAGGAGTTCCCTACCGAATGTGCTGTACCTTGATTCGGTGTCTAGCAACCTTCTAGAGAAAAATGCAAAGGGTTGCCAGGACTTGTTAACCCATTGTTGTAAGACGCCTCCGATTGCCGAGTCCGATGCGTCTACTGCGATACTAATGGGTGCTTCGGTGTCCTGATGTGCGAGCATTGTTGCTTCAGCAATCAGTTCCTTAACTGTGGAGAATGCTTTTCGTGCGGTGTCGTCCAAATTAATGGATTTCGCATTTCCACGAAGTTGGTCGGTTAGAGGTTTCATAAGTAATGCGCATTTGCGTATGAAACGTCTATAGAAACTTACGAGGCCGTTAAACGTGCGTAATTGCTTGACGGTGGTCGGTTCTGGGTAATCCAGAATGGCCGCCACTTTGGTCCTAAGGAGTCGGATACCTTGAGCATCGATAGTGTGTCCCAGAAAGTCTAATTAGTCGGTTCCGAATTGGCGTTTCTGAACGTTTACAGTAATGCCATGTTTTTGTAGTCGTCCGAAAACAAGATCCAGATGCTTGAGATGTGATTCTCTGTCTGGACTTGCGATTAGGCAGTCGTCAACATACGCATGTACGAAGTTGAGACCTCGGAAAACGTCGTCTATGAATCTTTGGAATGTTTGAGCAGCGTTTCTTAGACCGAAAGGCATTTGCAAAAATTCATAGAGTCCGAAAGGAGTTATGATAGCTGTTTTCGGTATGTCGTCAGTAGCCATAGGGATTTGGTTATACGCTTTAACCAATTCGATTTTCGAAAAGACAGTTGTACCTTTCAAGGTAGCTGTCAAATCGTGAATGTGAGGCAACGGGTAACGATCGGGAATGGTTTTCGCATTCAGTCGCCGATAGTCACCAGTTGGACGCCAATCGTTGCTGTCCTTTTTAGGGACCATGTGCAACGGAGATGCATATGGGATACTTGACGGTCGTATGATTCCTAAGTCTAACATATGGTCGAACTCGTTTTTCGCTAACCTTAGCTTTTCGGGAGCTAGTCGTCGTGCTTTAGCAAATACAGGTGGTCCTGTAGTCGTGATGTGATGTGCAACGTTGCTGGTTACACACGGTAGTTTCGGTTGAGTTTGCTGTATCCCAGGGTACTTATCGAGTAGTGGTTGATAGAATGGGTCTATCATATGCTTAATTGTGACTGGGGATAATTTGCAACCAGTAAAAGAAGTTACGCAAACGGATAAATTAGTGTTTCCGTCTACCAGCCTCCGTTTGCGCGTATCGATGATTAGATTATGGTGTTGTAGAAGGTCCATACCAATGATTGGCATAGAAACATCTGCAACAACGAAAATCCAGTGAATGGGTTTGCGTAAACCCACGTTAAGGTAAACGTACCTTTTGCCATACGTAGCTATCGGTTTTCCGTTTGCCGCCTTTAAGTTTAGAGTCGATTCGTGAAGTCGGTTGTTAGGATTTGCTAGGAGAACGCTAACTTCTGCGCTAGTATCGACGAGGTAGCGAACTCTCGTTGTCACATCTGTGACGTATAACAGACGGCTATGTTCACCGGCTACGGTTGCCGTTAACGCGTGCCGGCTTGAAGGTTACCCGAGTTGTTTTTCGAGTCACTCGGTTTCGTGTTGGGAAAATTGCAGGGAAAACTTTCCATACTGGTTATGATACCAGCACCAGTCGGGGTTATCTCTCTCTCGTGGTCTGGAGACAGATCGCTTACGTGAGATGCTTCTACGTGGGGTGTGCGATCTCTTACGGTCAGTCCGAACACTAAGATAACGCGTGAGTGTGTGACATAACTCGGTTATATCATTCGGAGTCGTTTGAGGTTTTTCTTTGACTGAAAATACCTCGGTAGTAGGTTTCGTAATTTCTAAAATGCGGTCGGCAGATGCAGCTAGCTCTTCTAAGGCGTTGTTCTGGAACGAGACCAAAACTACTTGCACTTGTTGGGGAAGTTTTGACAAGAGTTGTTTGAATAGACCTTCGTCGAAAGTTCTTGGTCCTATTACCTCTCTCATCCGTTGCAACATGTCCGTCGCAGAACCGTGTTGCAGGTCGATGTTATTGAAGAGTTGATCTAACCTTTGCCGATCTGTTAGGTCTCCTCGTTTAAGAATCGAGCGTTTTAAGATTTCGTAAGGATCGGAAACATCACTAGTAAACATACTAGGTGTTACGTACCTGTTGAATTCGCGCGGTAGTGCCTTGACTACTGCGAGGAATTGTGCACGTGTGTCGTTCAGACCGTGCTCGTGGAAGTCGGCTTCTGCGTAGCAGAACCGGGCTTCGATATTGTCGGGCCAGAAAGGCATCAGTTGAAACGAAGGCAGGGACAAAGTCTTAAGCTTGAGTACATTAGGTGTCTGTTCAGTCATGATGAAATATGAAGTACGATAATGAACGAGGGGAAAATATATATGTTGACAAGAAAAAACACGAAAAAAATCACAATGTTTAAAAAAATGAAAAATAAGGCAATGATATATAAAAATCCCAAAAAGGAACAGACTCACAGTTGCAATTAGGTGTACCAAAACACGTCGGTCTCACCAATGATGATGTCACAGGTATTCAGTGTTTGACAACGCTTCTACCAGTTTCACCTAATATATTTCGTTCCCGCCCAGAGAAATCAAAAGACAGAGTCGAGGAGATCGGAAGAGTATATTTGGCGATGACCAATATATCGGAATTCTCTGATCTAATCTGGCTAGCGATTGCGGTTGATGTTGAGCACGGCGTTACCACACGTGATCTGGTGCGGATGCATGACCGAGCGCCTTCAGCTAGATGAGTCCACTAAAACATATTGTCAGCATCCAATGTCGAAAACTTAGAGCTATTTATTTTGGGGATTTATTTACCGCTACAACCTAATGTTTCTCTCTAACGGATGATATTAGCTTATCAGCTTTATTACTTTAAAATGAAATAAGAGCAGCTTTAACTTGTTTTTCTAGACTAAACCGGAAGAACTGCCTGAATGGGGCTTTAATCGGCTTATTGATTAATGATTTATCACAGTCGTAATATCATTTATACTTCCAAGATGTTCAGCTGACCTTTGCCGACTGGTTATATCTCCATGTTTGAGGAAAGTTTTTGTGATGTTCAGTATACCAATGGTACGATATTAGTAGTTAAGTGAATTTGCCTTGGTCACGCTGGGCCCATGGAAGTTAGCTTTTCAATGAAAAGACCTGTAGTTAGTGTCATAAGGCTAGGAAGGGGTAATTTAAAAGGCAGAGAACGCTAATGCTATAATTTGTAGGTGTTTAAGTGTGCAGTTAAATCTTGTCGAACTGAATATATGTGAGGAATTCATCAAAATTTTCCACTTTATGTATCAGCACACTCCTCTGAAGGCTTGACTCAATGGTATCGATGGAGGTGACCACTTAGCCACACTGAGTGACTTGTCTTTGAAGCTAACAAACGACGGGGACAAGGATATTAACAATTTTTAACCGAAATCTCTTTCATAACCCAGACTCCATTTTAAAGGAACTATTAAATTGTTATTTCTCCCTAAAAAATTTTGGATATCGAAGAATTTGGCGATACCAGACCAGGAATAACAGTGCGTATAAAAAATCCCAAAAAAATTCAAAGAGAAGAATTGAAATAAATAAGGTGGAAAAGATAAAATATGACAATAAAGACTATTATTTGTACGACCAAACGTATACTTTTGTTTTACATATCCAATTGAGTGGACTTGTACTACAATTAGTTTGGTTTGTGTATATCTGGTCACGTATTTGTCTATCAATTTACTTAGGTTGTTTATCACAAAATATGTCATCTGTATGCGATCGTTTGTTGAAATCAGTGGCCCCAACAAATATTGAGCCTCGTTCTCGTAGTAAAGTGACTGTTATAGGTGTTGGAATGGTTGGAATGGCTGCAGCATTCTCTACCATGCAAGTGGCAGGAGAACTCGCACTTATTGATGTCGTAGCAGATAAGGTTAAAGGAGAAGTTCTTGATCTACAGCATGGTCAACAGTTTATTGGCAGGTGCAAAATTGATGGGGGAACCGACTACAAATACTCTGCAAATTCAGATATTGTCGTCATCACTGCTGGTGCCAGACAAAACGAAGGAGAATCACGACTGAACCTCGTTCAGCGTAATGTTGATATATTCAAAAAAATAATACCGAACGTTGTGAAATACAGTCCAAACTGCATCATAGTCGTCGTATCGAACCCTGTCGATATTTTGACATATGTTGCTCGAAGATTGAGTGGATTTGAAGCTCATAGAGTAATTGGGACCGGAACCATGCTTGACTCGGCGAGGTTTCGTTTTCTGTTAGGTGAGAAATTGGGAGTATCTGCCAATTCTGTCCATGGATATGTAATTGGTGAACATGGTGACTCGAGTGTTGCTGTTTGGAGTAATGTGAATGTTGCTGGAGTTCGGCTGTCTTCGCTAAATCCAAAGATAGGATGCAAAGACGATCCTGAAAATTTCGAGGAAATACACAAGCAAGTTGTTCAGAGTGCCTATGACATCATTCGCTTGAAAGGTTACACCTCATGGGCGATCGGGTTGACATGTCGATCACTTTGTAACGCACTATTAAATAACCATCACACAGTTTATCCACTCTCTGTTCCTGTCAAAGGAATTCACGGAATCGAAGAGGATGTTTATTTGAGTTTACCATGTCTTGTAACTTCAGCTGGAATCAGTCATTTAATTCCGCTTGAACTTAGTGCGGATGAATTGTGTAAATTGAGAAAAAGTGCTGCCACTCTGAATGAAGTTATAACGAAAATCCAATGGTAAAGTCGTACGACTAATAGTTGCCGCACGTTTACGTATCAAAGTACACTAGCTTTTCCCCTTTTCATGTATGTTATCTCTGTTTTTAAATTAGTAAGTATTAGATATGAAGCATCTTAATTTTTGTTTATTGAAATTGTCCGCTAAATTTTTTCCAAAGGATTAAACATAAATTATTCGGTTAGAAATATGAACAGCTTTCCTTCTTTCCTGTTAGTTATAACCGTACATGATCTAAGGTTTAATGAACTACAGTAGATTTTCCCGCTCACCCTTGGACATTGTTTAGGAATGATTTACATTCCTGTCATCTTGCGAATCAGGTTTTTATGGTATCGCATATCGTGAAGAGCCTTCACAAGCCATCCTTTGGCCTACTATTTAGAGCTTCAGCATATATGACTTGAATATGTAATAATGTCACATTAAGTAAGAATGTTGTATTTCTTGTAATCGTTTTCCGACAAAAATAGTTTATTGGGAAATATTTGGGAGTCTCCTGTCTTCCGTAATCACTTATGAAGTCTGACACTTGATTGGTATCGATTCGGTGGGATTTTCGTCAGTAACCTAAGCTGTTGGTTCACGATACCGTTTAATGCATTACTCCATGAAACTATCCAATGGACTTTTGAACCTCGTTTCTCATTATTTCAGCAAACTCTCATGATGTATTTCCTTTTATATTCATATCGAGATTATCCTAGGCGGTAATAAAAACTAGACATCCATTTTAACGAGTGCAGAAATTGTCCTTAAGTGTCCCGATAATTCTTCACTTGACTAAAGCTAAGTAAGCAAATATCTATGTGATAAGGGGGGAAACTATATTAAACAATACTCATCATACATATAGTTTTCTGGTTCTTTATCCTTTGTGCCTTCTAATCACACATTTTGTCAAGATTCTGGGGTTTCTATGAATTAAATGTTAGATTAGAATCTAAATATCCCCCAAAAATATGCTTCAGTTTACAGGGACTCACCCGTGATAGCTTTTCATCTTTGCAGCTAATATGGCTTCAAGTTAGTGATTGTTTTAGTTGCCATTGTTATCAAGAACAAACGTAATGATATTTAAAAGGCAATGCTAGATTCCTGACATATACTCTCTCGGCTTTTTAGCTTATTGGTTAACAATCCTTACAACCGATCCCCCGAAATCAAACGCAAAATGTTCATAAAGTCTCATCTTATAATGAGGCTGGCATTCATTCAAATGCTGCTAATAAGTAACGAATTCTTGTGAACAGTTTTAGATTCGATGACTTGAAAAGTCATATGTATCCATCTTCAGAAAAAATAAATTTTTTAGTATTTACCTAACTTTTCGTCGATACTAAATTTTCAGTACAAAACGTCTAGCCAGGATGATACAAACAAAAGCATATCAGCTGGTAAATAAATTATATTGAGGAAATAAACACAATGCATGTCTATTTACAGGTTTGATCGGTTTGCACAGCGAGCAACATTACATTTAAAGAACAAATATTAATGGTCAAACAGTTTGTAACGATTTTACTGATAGGTTATTCTGAGAGAAATGTAGTCATAACGAGTATTGTATTGTTAGGTAGCAAATGGGAAACAAATCTACAGTAGAAGGACCGAGAAATCCTGTCGAAGTTTGACTAATATACCGAAGGGTATTTCCACTACCGCTACGGTGTAATTACAATAATCTACAATTCTAGGGAAACGGGGACCGTGAAGATGGAACAACATCTAATGTCTTTCTAATTTCACCAGTGGAATATAATATAGTCACAGGTGTAAGTATTGCTGAGGTAATTTCAAATGAGAGACAATCATCGATGTAAGAAACAAATAGTAGTGTTGATTTCGTGTCACAGAGTTATTGCAAACTGCTCGGAATCACCGAAAGTTTCCTTGAAAATAGTTTGTAGGAAAATAAGATTAAGAATGCAGCAGATTGACTTTCAATTAACAGTTACGAATGTTACAACTAAGTGTTGATATCAAGAATATCCGAGGATCGACTGGTCATTTCTTGAAGCGTATTTCTTGTATGTGGTCAGTTATGGCTTACGCAGTAATACTTCACTTTTTATGAAGTTATACTCACTTACTTGGCTCAGATCATCTGAGATTCGGGAATAGTGTTTGAACCTTCATCAATTGGTAAATCTTGTTATTCCCCATGTCCCGTCAAATACTACGTGACAAAACCACCAATTAGAATACAGACATCCATGACGTTGTCTCTGTGCTAGACCAGTGATGCGTTGACCAGCACTAGCAATGTTGAGTCAACTCTGAGCCTTATTGGTCCTCTGTATAGTAGCTTCTCGCCCAACTCAGTCCGTCCAGTCCAGAACACAAATATCGGTCTCCGATATGTGAACCGTATATTTCAGATATACGTGGTTTTTATACAGGCAAAGTAGACCGTATCACACCATAGAATGAGGAGTAATAATTATACAAGACCGATCCAAAATTGGGTACGTGTGTGGTATACTAAGACGAATAAACTGTGAATACGTTAACAATAGCCAATAGGTCAAATGAACGATTTTGATAAAAGGGAATATGTATATATACATAATCTAGTTACTTAATTATTACCCAATAGAAATATATTTAATGACAGTCCATGAACAATTCAGAGCAGTTAACATTCATCTAGTATTCGTTCGTATATAACATTTTTACATCGTAATATAAGAGTGAGAAATCATCAGTAGATTTCTTCAGCCATTCCGAATAACTTGGATCTAGTGGAATAGTACTTCTACTTGCACAAGTCAATTTTGTCCACGTACTAAGTGTGCCGACAACAATATCTGCATAGATTGCATATGACAAACATAAAATCTCACCACCACGTTGCAGTTTAACTATGTTAAAACCAACTGAAAATTTTGTATTTGGGTGTCATCTACCCTACAATTGTCGTATGACGGTTCATAACATTCAGGTTCTCAAGCAGGGGAATCAAGTGTTTTGATTTTGTGAACGGGTTGATTTATTTATTTACGACAAGATTCCGTTTGATGAAAGTTTAGTACATTGTTAGGATTGACTTTCAAAAACGACCTCACATCATTCTCCTTAAAATCAATATCAGTCAAAACGATGACAGACGGTAGTATTGGCCAACAAAATTTGAGCGTTCTCAAGTTTCAAAATGTCGTGCTAACTACTAGATATCGGATATGTACATGTAGTATGTGCGGTTTCTTCGAAACCTAGTGTAAAATTGTTAGTTAATAGCATTTATAGGACCAAACTGGACACTTTCCCCTGTTGTGGCTTCATTCGCTGGATTTTGAGACCTGACTGTCTTTCAAATACCGATTCAGTTCCAGTCACCAGAAATTATGATCAGCTGTGAGGTGAATAGGTGACTATTCGTAATGTCTTAGATTGATTAGATAGATTTGTCTTTTATGAGCAAAGATGGATAGTGGCTAGCAGTGGAATCCAGGATGCGCGTTTTGTTCTATTTGGGACTCGTCAGCCTGATGCACCTGCGTCTGAGTTGATGTTCACTCTGGGACTCGAACCCAATACCATTCGCTTCAAATGCGATCGCGTTACCCACTCAGCTAGGACGAAACGCACGTCGTGGATTCCACTGCTAGCCACTATCCATCTTTGCCTTTAAAAGCTTGTGAATTAATCCAATATCTAGGCATAAACGCAGTATGCACATATGCCAATAGCAGACTGATCAATTGCAGTCTTAATCCTTAATGGAAAGATACAAGCAAAACAATACCAAGTGAAGTAGATTAGTCTATTTCCAAAACAAGTTAAGTTCAGTCAACAATTAGAAGCAACTAGTTGACAAATGAGTAAGGTATTTAAAATATTCCTTCCTGGTGATTGTAGTTTGTTCGATTAAACATTTCACTGTCGTTCTGGATAAGTTATTTCGAAATCGATTGGGACCCAGGTTTTCCTTCATTTAAAAGTCAGAATTCTCAATATATCGGCCAAGACGGTTTTGTTGTACGAAGTGAAACTCTGAAAACTACTACAAACATCATCAAATGTGGACAAATACGTGGCTTATGTTACATCCAACTGTGTTCACCAGTTTACATGTACGCGCCAAAGGCAGATACATCGGAATAAAAAAAGTATATGTGTCTGCATCTCTGAACATATTTCACAAAAGCTAACATTAACTGTACAGGACGTTTTGTTTGTCATTTGCTCGACAGCGGAAATGATGTTGGAATTTCGAAATCTTTCAAAACAGTCAATAAACAAAAGGAACAAAAATTGTTCGGCATTTCTGAAGCTGTCGAAATAAAAAGATTGAAATCCAGTTTATGAAAACAACAATAAAACATTTCGAAGGACTGTTATCAGACAACATCGATCTCAATTTATATTGGACTCTATCTAGGCTTCAAATCGACAATGGTCGTTTCAAAATCGAACCGTCCAGTTCACAGATTATAATACCACTAAGAACAAGCATCTGAACTAAAAAATATTTTTTATTGTTATAGTACAATGTAAACATGATTTCTCGAGATAATTTAGTATTTATTGATGACTTATTACCATGGGAGCATATGATTTCGCGTGGTTGTGGTATCACTAAAATATAATTATCAGATTTTTCATACTTTATCAGACACTAAATTTACTGTAAGGCTATCATAATGAACTTACAGCAGCTACAAAAAATTAAGAAAGCTAACCAAGCAACCTTCTCTCTTAGTCAATGATGGTAATATTTTTAACTTCAATGTTGATTTTTAATATGGAGAGCCGGTCAGAAGTAGCCTAATGAGAAGGTCATTGGGTGGCAATTAGAAGTAACCTGACATACAAGTGCATTTCGGTGGCTAAGAAATGGACCAACTTCCTAAGGATTAGAGTAGTATATATATGAATGAGTATTTGTGTATTTTATTCAGTAGCCCAATAAACTTCCTCTCTCACTCTTGTGTTATCGCTCAAGTGGCTAGAGCTTAGCACACCGTCTATCAGTATCAAATATGGACATCACCTGTCAT